ACATGTAGTTGATTGATTAGCTATATAGTTTTGAAATATGGCCACTTTTTCTATTCGTTTTGTCTCAAAGGAAATTCGTTTCATTTTTGGCGTTGGAAATTAGTCAGCGTGTATAAATTGTGACGATTAATGTAGTATAACTGTTAATTTTAACTAAAGACAATCTCGATATATGCCTTAAAAATCTCTTATGTTGAAATACGAATCACAATAAGTACAGCCTGGATGCCTCAATCATTTGTAACGAAACACCACGTAAATAAACCAAGTTTATTTAAACCATATGCAAGGCCAATTAAAACTTTACATCACCCAGTAAACACTAAAACAAGACCAGACCGGGCCAGTAAAGCTGGTGCAAGAGCGCACAAAATTATATTCAATTGATTCAGAATGGCAGCGGCTATTCACTGGAGGTGTTCTTCATTCGCCTGATCTACACAATGGGACGGATTTAGCCAATTCATTGTTGTTACTGGCTAATACTATATGATTGCACCGTCCGACTCACACGTGATGGGGAGCGAGTCAGTCAGTCAGTCAGTCAGTTAGGCAATGATGAGTCAGTGACATAGGTACACTGAGAGGATCGCCAAAAATCAGGTCAGAGCGGGAAATATAACGGTGTCACGTTGAACATCTGAAGGTTTGTGAAAAACACTTTTGTTAAAGGGAATCCAATCTAGTTTACACTTGATGTGGTACTCATGCACACTTTGCGGTCCCAGTTCCGTCCCAACATTTGCGTAAATTGCACACACTCGTGCCAGATATGTTACACCGAAAGTGTAGAAGTTAATTACGCACGTGGGAAGTTTACAGCAGTGAAAATCTAAATTCAAGGATGCTTGAGGTTGCGAATTTCCTGCAAAATATCAGGGCAAAACCTTGTTTTTGACGCCGGAAAATCGTCTTTACACTGACGAAGTAACGCGAGCAAAACAACAATAAGTGTGATCTAGTTCTGTGTTAATGGTACTTTAATTCTGAAATGATTCTCCTGAATGTTCCCAGTTCGACCAAAATTAAAACCGAAGTGCAATGAGAGAAATGTAAGGCAGACGACCCCGAGGGCTTCATACATAAAAAAAAAAATCCCGAAATTAATCTGCGCATTACCAACTGCATGTTGCTGCTATAGTTTGTGTTTGGCCTCTCCTCGTTCATTGCATGGTTTCCAGTTGATTCTTTGAAATGTGAGGTGCTGTGGTCCGATGGTTACGGGTGTTCGACTTGTGTGCCGTGGTACATGGGTTCGAATCCAGACCGTGGGAATGGTGCTTGTGCTCATGAGCAAGGCGCTTTACCATTATTGCTTCGTCCTTCGCCCGTAGGTCCCGTGTGTTGTGTAATGCACGATAAAGAACCTAGTAACACTTATGGCTAAGAGAAGGGGTTTGCCCCGGTGTTCTGACAATGGCTGCAATATGCGCCGCAGCAACTTGTAAACCCTTATAAGGTGCTACATAATGGGTCGAATATTTCTCATAAACTTCATTTACCTGTCTTTAATAATAGACATAATTTCCAGCGCTTTGAGTACCTCATTGTTGGTAGATACGTGCGGATAACACTCCTGTATTTCCGGTGTAGCATGAATTCAGAATTCAGTTTTATGAAATACGGACTCATTGGTGGTATTGCGCATGCTCATGCATAGATAATTAGGACAGGGACCGGTCACGTGAGAGGGTTTAACCAATAAAAGGAAAAAAGAGTCCGATTTTCATACGAGTCCGAATTTCATATGACACCGGTATTGAACTGTCAAACCTTGACTAGCAAAGCTGAAACACTGCAACTCAGCATGAAGAGCGGTCGAAGATCAAAGATGTCTCGGTCGCTTGGTGGCAGCAGACGTGTTCGTGTGATACTGAGCATGCGCAACATGGCACACAAACTTTGTGCTTGTACTTCCGCCTTGCAAACAGGACGTTGGGAAGGGCTGCATGATCTCTTTGAGCTCTAATTGGATAGATTTTGCATTACCTGTGACGTAGTACGCAGCACACAAACGCGCTACAGCTGTTTATCATACGTAGGGCGCTATAGCTGGGTGCACACCTGAAAATAGGCCTAAACCCATCCGCCGAGCTCATGAATAAAAATCATCCCCTCAAAATTTTCTATATTAAAGAGTTTTGAGAGCCATAAAATTGGGGAATTGAAGAGATATGACAATGAACCTCTGGCCCGGACTTGGGGCTTCCAATTCTGAGCATTTTGGATGCAATTGGGCTCGAAAGTGGCGCTATTTTGCCATGTTGTGGAGGGATCGTTTTTCAAGATGGCTACTTTTCCGCTTTGGGAAAAATAGGGGTCGTCTTCTTTGGGAGAGAATATCTCGAAAAGTCAATCTCAACCCACCAAAATAATAAAAAGAAAATGAAAGATGACATGTTCATCATCATTTTTCTGTGCAGCTTAAATACCTATACGAGAGATCTGAGTATTTAAAAAAAGAATTTTCAAGTGTGGGCATTTAGCACTGGTGTCTATGGGACTTTTATTACAGGGGTACATCCAGCTGCCTGCGAAGGTAATTAAGTTACCCATAATGCCATCCGTACTTCCTTCACAAGATTCTGTGAAGCGGCATCAGCCCTTCCCAACGCCCTGTTTGCAGGCTGGGGGGTACGAGCGAACAAAAACTTCAACTGCAATGGACACTCCAAGGATTGATAAAGGCTAGGCTACGTCAATACAAGGCAACTTAAGCACCTCAATTTACATGCCATTGTCAGCGACCACTCAAATCAAGTCAAAAGTTGACTCAAGAAATTGAACTCCACATTTTAAATCTGATTATAGTTTACTGTGTTGCTCTGCTTTTTTGTATCTGATTGAAAAAAAGCATCTGTTCAGTCTAGTGTTCTTTAGAATTTGTCCGGCTTAAAATTAATGTCACATGCATAGCCTAAGCAGTATAGTACAAAAGGGTAATTATCAAAGGGAGAATATTTCATTGAAATTCCATATTCAAATGCCTCAGCTTTTCGAGTTAAAAATGGCAATAGAAGTCATAAATATGTGACAATTCCAAAAGATTGCATGAAGCCAAAAGATTTTTCAGTCTGCCTGTCTAGATTATATATAAATGTTTATGAAAGTACGGTTCAAACCCTGCTTAGCCATTACTGAAGAAAAATACTTGATCTTGTCATACAAAAGAATTCTTTAACTGTGTCAATCTCTAGAAAAGAGTGTGCTCTTGGGCTAATATTTTGTGTAGATCCAATTTCTCTCCGATCCTGCCTGTTGAATGAGTTATATTAGACGCTCTCTGTAAACATCCGGAGGGAAACGCAGCCTTTAATCGCTTCATCATCTCTGCACTAGTCTTTCCCTCCAGTCGTGGCAAAAGGTAACATCTCCGCTGCGCAGTTTAATCGACGCCCTTTCCCCCTTGTTTACAGCCGGAGTCCGCGCAGACAATTTCATCAAACACTGACAGCCTGGAGCTGAGTCGATGCGGAGACGTTAGCGTGATTAAAGGCAGCTAGTTTGGCCCAATATTTCGTATGGTACAAAAGCACCCGAAATGAAGACGCGACAACTTTCTCTAGCCTAATATCCCTTGTGTCTTTCCTCATCTTAAGAATGATATCCAAAATATTCTCAATCGCCTTGTTTAACCACCCCACAATCTTTTTTCCCAATTGTCAAGGGTATCGGATTTTTTTTTCGATTTGGCCTTTTTATGCAAAAGCTGTTTGGCATCCGTACTAAAGCTGTTTGGCATCCGTACTATGGTCCACACTTACAAATCTCTCAACTCCTCTGCCCCTGACTACCTCTCTTCTCTTCTCTCAATTCGAACTGGGTCTCACTCCCTTCGCTCTTCTCATGGGAAATCTCTTGTTGTCCAGAAAACAAATAAACTCGCAGGTGATCGGGCCTTCTCTATTGCTGCTCCCCGATTGTGGAATAGTCTACCCATCCCTATCAGAAACTCCGATACTGTGCCAACCTTCAAGAAGGCTCTCAAAACCCATTTTTTCCCCCCACACCATAGATGGTCGTACGCCCTTGTTGTTTTTCTGTTGTTCTTTCTGTAGTTCTTCTTTCTGTGTTAAAGTGCCTTGTATCCTTTGGCAATTTGGCGCTCTATAAATCCAGTTATTATTATTATTATCGCCATATTTGCAAATTGGATCTGTTCTTGCTGCGTTCACCACATTTGCATTTGCATAGATACTCATCGTCAAAGGAATAGCATGATAATGGATAAACCAGTGTAATGTTACATGGTGAAATCGCATGAAACAAGCTACACGCGGAAACCCAAATCGGGAAGCTTAACATTAATTGAGACTAGTCGGGTGGCTTTGACGTACGTCAGAACAGCGCTAATACTATCACAGTCATACGTCTGGAAACGTGACGATTACGAATCTCATCATGCAGTGCACGCACTTATACATGTCCACGATGAAATGGCTGTTAAATCATTGATGGGATATGTGCAAACACGCTCGACCTTGGGTTCTCGGCCCCCGCCAATTGTCAATATTATTTCTGCAATTGAAAATCAATTTTAAGCAATTTACCCCGATAAGTCAGAGGAACCAATATATGACTCCTGCGCCGCTACCACACCATAACATAGGGCTGAGCCTCGTGTAGTGGGACCTTCATCAATGTTTGTATAGTGGTAAAGCAATTTCACAGCATATAGGTGTAGAGGGTAGGGATTTTTTTCGTAAAGAAATTCTTAATGCAACCGACATTTTCGTGCAGCTATATCAAGTGAAAAATTGCAGTTTTCTTTGAAGCATTTTACTTGCAATCTCCATCTTGTTATTCGGACTCACTTTAAAAAGCTGTTATTTGTTTCAAAAAATGCCAACACAGAAACACACCATTCTCAAATGTATGAGCATACTATATTAAAAGCTACATGCAGATCAAATTTGCAGCTGAATCCCTCGTTCATCAATGAACATTCACCTGAAAAGACCCCGTGAGGTTTATTTACAAACCAGTGACGATGTACGTACCTTGTCTTTCCCCGTCCAAGCTTAAGTTTTCCGACAGCACAAGTAAGCAAGTGAATTTACCCTTCACGCTATGATGCTACCATGCAAAACCCTGACAGGTTGACAGACGCAGTACATGTGGTTTACACGTCGACACTACGCGGGCAAAACTCCTAGTTGCAAGCAGGGGACACTGTTATAAGTGTTAGCAACTCTAAGATTCCACACTTCGACTCCTGAACTTAAGACCTCGACAGCAGTAGGGCTTTGCATCCAAGGTCGTCGCGTAGAAACATCGAATTCACGCATAAGGTGATGAAAAGTTGTTGAGCACCAAATTGAAATATTAAAGTGAAGATGTCTGTCAATTGAAACTAGCACATTTTCCTATGCAGACTTTTTGCACTCTTCCTACTGTCACTTTTGTGGCACATTTTGTTACGAGGTAGCCAGAAATCAACCCCTACTGTTCATTTTCGCAGGTAAAGCCGAAGACAAATCCGCCAAATTCCAAACGCCGAAATCATGCTGTGATATTACCTTGTAGACAAGCCATCTATTCCATAAAGATTTACCTCTAGGCCCTATATACAAAGGTTACCAGAAAATGGAACTGACTGAGCAACCCGGTGCCAGGGCCATTCATGATGGCGAGACGCCATTTTGTGCATTCATCAACCTGCCCTTGGAACCTTATTAGAGACGTACACACTCTTATTCTGACAGTCGTAAGAATTAGTAAGCGGCTTAGGGTTGAGACGCCTGCACTCTTATTCCAACAGTCGTAAGGATTCACAAGTGGCTAGGCTAGCTACAAAGTCCAAATACCCAAAAGCCCGGACTAATTCCGGATAAATTTTCACTTGCCTAGCCAAGCTATGCCACTCGATTCCATGTTTTGACAAGAGTCACGTGACAGGCTGGTCAGAGTGAACACATGCTCTGTTTGTTTTGATTTCGTATGGTTTCATATTTCTGACACCTGCGGGAACAGAAAATGAGACTTTTTTATGAACAGTATGAAGGATATACGATACAGTATAGTCTAGTTTCACGCTGCACACGATACATTCAATAGGCACTATAATGCAAGTGCCCTAACGCGGGCATAGTTATGCAGTATAACAAATTAATGGTAAAGGCACTTTAGTCTTGAATAAAGGTTTGGTGGAACAACATTGATGTTTGCTATAATGTTTGTTAATAGTGTTGTAGTACTCGTACTCGGTACTCGTACTCAAGTACTACTCGAGTACTTTTTTTTTTTTAGAGTACACGTACTCGGCGACATGTTGAAATTGTACTCGATCATCAAAGTAATCGTACTCGAATAGCATGCAGTACTCGAAAAAAATGGTATAGCTTGACTTACCACGGCCTTATTTTATCAATACTTTCAGTTTGAAATGGTTGATTGGCTTGCGGAGAAATCGAAGTTTCCTGATTTTTCTCTGTGCACGTCCGGAACACATTTAACAGCTAGCCGTGAGTGGGTCTGACTGGGCCTGGGCCAATTACGCACAATGAACCATTTACCGTATGGCCGTATGCGGAAATAGAAGTACTCGTACTACGGTACTCGTAATCGTAAGTACAAGCTTACTCGGAGACCTTTTCTTGTACTCGGAGGTACAAGTACTCGTACTCACACTCGTTAACCTAAGTACTTCGGTACTCGGAAAAAGGTACTCGACTACAACACTGATTATTAAGTCGAATAAGGTACGCACGTCGCCAGCAAACGAGAAGATTTGAGCGCCCTTTCTAATGCGGCATGGAGTACTGATTTCCAGCTGTTAGGTAATAGGTTTACTATAACGACATATCAATATACCAATGTGTCATGGCAGTTATCAAAGGATAAATCTGTCGGAACGGGATTTTCAACGAAGAAATTGCAACACTTGAAAATGTTAATCGCATTGCCCGCGTTTCTTGAAAATCCTCCAACAGGGGAACAGCCGCAGATTGGCAAGTCGCCATTACGCTAGCCGTCTACCGGCCGCCGCGATATAAGAAGATTTCGATGACACTTAGGAGAGCAGCCACTTCATTACGTGCATTATTCATCGTGGCTCTCAAGAGGATGGTTGAAGTGTGCAATTAACTTGTTTCTCTGAGTCGACTCGAAAGCTTGGGTAGTCACAACTGATTAAAATCGCTTGTTCGATTCGCAGTCGGTGCTACTCAGAAGTGATGTGAATTGAAGTCGAAAGTGGAATATGGTTAATTGAAAAGTTGGAAGGTGAGGAAAGTGGCCCAGTTGGAAAAAATAATCACATTTCGTCTTTTTTATTTGTCCATGTATTGGATCGCGCTAGCAATTATATTGCCTAAGCTTCCACACTTGAGCTACGATCTCTACCAATAATATCGTCACCGTTTTCACGAAGAGCCACATGTCAAAAATTACCAATTTTTCGATTTCGATTTTTTTCCAATATTTTGCTTTAAAACAATGTACTTAACCATTTTGACATGTTTCTCTTAGCAAAACATCATTAATTTCCAAGTTACATAAATGTTGCTAGGGGCAGAAATCTCAATAAATGCATTTTTTTCACGAAGAGCCACATAGATTTTGGCCCTTTGAACGCGTACAAAACCCATTGCACGGAAATACGTAAAAGTGCGTCAACTGAGATTTCCGTTTTCACGAAGAGCCACATATCTTTACTTATTAATTTTCACCCATTAACTGCTGTATTAAGTCTAATTACTGGGTTCATGTAAAAATACAGCTCTCATAAAATCGTGTGATGGTTTCCTATCTGCACAAAGTTGTTGCAAAGTGGTATCTTTTGCAGTTTTAGAATATGAGAAACTTCTTTTGCGATTATCTCGAAAACGCTTTTTCTTCAAAATTCACAAATGTGGCTTTTCGTGAAAACGGTGACGATATGACAATACAATAGTCTTGTGGTAATGTATACTGATCTAGAAGAGAGTATTCGATGTGTACGCAATATCCAAAACCTTGCGCCGCTCCCCGATTTCAGTGCACCTAGCTGAAGTGGGTAAATTGAGAATGTTGGGGCCTCGGAAATTGGGGAACAGGGTCATGGCTGCCTGGGAAATTTAATTTATAAGCTTTGCATTCGGCACTTTGTCTTCTGAATGTTCGTCTGGCTGATTGTCACCTGGAGGGATATCCGTTAATGTCAAAGACACCGCATCGTACTTCTACTATATTTGTCTTCAATCAACTGATGATAGCACTGCCCCTAGTCTTATAAAAAGAGACCACAAAACGCTTCAGGCTTGGCAATCTACTTCAACTGTTTCAACACGAACCCTGACAATATGTTTTCTTTATCACAAAGCCGGCCGTAGAAATAGAAACGTTGAATCACCTTAATTTGTTTCAATGAATGGATTTTGCTTCAACGGAAAGTGAGGAAGATGTAGGCCAGCCAAAGTTTCGCTCAAGGTGCCACATTGGTTTACGAAACACGGCTTCGTCTTGGCCTCGGATTCATAAGAAGCCTGCTACGCTCAAACAATATACCAACCAGTTGTCTTGTTTGAAAGAAAAGTGTCTCTATTGAAGGCACTAGACTAATATTGTACTTTAGTCTGTCAAGTTAGGGGACTAAAATCATGAAACCTGAGTCTGAAGCCCAAACGAACATGAAGACAAGATTTCGCAAACAATTTGATTTTCCTTTCAAAGGTACAATCAAGACAGGCGGCCAGTGCGTGGATTCTTTACACACCCTGTTCATGGTTTCTGGAGGTGCGACATGTGGGAGAAAAGTGCTCAAACATGGGCTTCCCATGACACGCTACCAAATGAATACAAAATAGACTCACCTAATTGCCTTGAATGCGGAAATGTTACCTTTTCCAAGATTAACTCGAGGTGGGCAATACGCCTGCGCAAGTCTCTAATTTTGAGCCGTGTTCACCATCGGCGCATGCGTGCTATATGATTCACTTGAGACCAGTGTATGGCCGTGCCGGAATCAGGAACTTTAAATGTGTGGCTACGGCTCCCATTTTTGCCTGAGGTGTGCCACAGTGAATAGTCATAGCCGTATATACAGCAATGCCGGTTTGGGACACAGCCTAATATAGAACACTGCATGTCCTTGAGAGGGAAGGTGGGCGACTAGTCACAAGTGTCTAAGTTAATAGGTCAAGCATGGAGACAACCGAGGTCGGCCGACACCTTTTTTTTCGCACCTGCCGTTGAGACAAGTTAAATAGTGTAGTCTTATTATGCAGAGCAAGTTGGCCCTGTATCCCCGTGGCCTTACAATGTGACAAAAAGAAGGCTAAGGGGAAACTAAACTTCATACTTTTAGATGTCCCTCGCGAATACTTCAATGGCTGTGGCATTCAATTAGAATGTGCAAAGTTGCGATTTTCCCATGCGAAGTAAACACAGGTTATACCCTAGACCAGTAATGTGGCAAACATAGGATGAGAACTCTGAGACACTAAGGATATTTTGTAGTGTTAATAAAAATCAAATCAACCAGTTTTAAGGCAAATTCTTGATTACTTAATTAGGATTTGACTCCAAAACAATACGCTCAGAGTAGGTTCACGCGAACATCCCACAAAACTCGGGGTTTTAAGGCCTAGCATACACTTCCAAGTGTTGAATTGTTCTCATTAATTGCCGATTAAACAAGGTCTTTCTAACGATGATATTTTGTCGTTTTCGAATTTCAAAGACGATGTGTGGCAAATATTGGCATTCAAATGCATTGTCGTGTGCAGGTGTAACAAAATGCTTTGACGGATATCAGATTTATGGCTAAGCCTGCACGATTCACTCAAAAGCTAAACCTCCAGAATTAAGAAAGAAGCTGTAAGTCCTTCAAATCCAACCAACGATTCACTATCTCAAGGGGATTGACCAATGCTTTTGCGCCCACGAGATATTCCCGCCAGTAAGCCACAACAAATCCACCCAACAAGATACCTGCATTTCTCGAAGTAAATTCAACCAAAAATAAACATTTTGTGCTGTCGTTGAGAACTGAAGTCGCCCACTCCTAAAAGCGATCGAAGGAGGTCGAGTTCGAGGTTTGCATGCAAAATGTTTTGCTATCGAGGTATTTGACTCCATCTACCAGGATCCTGTATATAGATACACCTAGGCCTACGGCAAACATAAAACTTCTGAGTATGACTCTGAATCAAAACTCACAGACTTAAGTCTTACACTACTGTTCTTATTTTTGGAAAATTTAATTCTTTTTATTTTGTAATGTCCCTTTGCCATAGCGAGCCAAAATGGTAATTTGTTTTGCATGAGTGTGGTGGTCAAGATATTTTGATATATATTTTACCTTTGAATGCCCGTTTGGACGGATTTGAAATATTCCTCTTGAGTCAGTAGTATTAAACCAGTGGCGCGTAAGATACATTTTCTGAGGTTGAGAGACTAAACGAATTCCCAA